GGGTAATGTTAGGTAAGAAAAAAATAATGTTTGAAGATTCGCCTTTTTCTGTTGGTGCAATTGCAAGGGCAGATCCTTCTTGCACAGGTTCTGACTTCCGAGGTAGATGCAGTGTAGGGGAGTCTATGTTTGTATAGGATTAGTAGTGATGGTGTCTGTCATAGCTGCAATAATATTAGATACAAACAATTAGAGAAGCAAATATTTTAGGTTGAGGTTTTGCATCTCTCACTACTATCTTTTCACTTCCAAATTGGTCAAATAAGAGAGTCAAAAAAGCCATAACCACGATGGAGCATCTGATAATTTAGTGGCACGGCTTAAAATCCTTTGCAGCTTTGGTGGAAAAATAGAATACTATCTCAGCCAAGCGATGGAAAGCTCAAGTATGTTGGAGGTGAAACACGCATTATCGGTGTAAGGAGGAATATAATGTGGCATGAGTTATGGCTCAAGGCTATAGCCTATGACCACACTCATATTATAAAATATCAGCTTCCTGGAGATCAGAGGATCTTGATGCTTTAGTTTCTGTGTCATGTGATGAGGATTTGCAGAATATGATGGAAGAATGTAATGTTTTAGATGATACAGAAGGAACAAAAGAGCTTAGGATGTTTTTGTTTTCTATGATTGACTTGGAGGATACTCATTTTAGTGTATCTAACTCTCATGCTGATTCTGAGATTCAGTATGTTGTTGCTGTCAATGGCTTTGACCTTGAATCCGGGAAAAACTCAATTTTGCATTGTCTAGGTTCTTCTGCTAACACTTAGCTGAGCTAGATGTGTAGAATGTAGAGATAGACACAGGTAAGCTACCACATTAGGGTGACAGTAAGTCACAGAATTTGCAATCTACTCACAATTTGAATTCCTTATATGCGGGTTTATGAAAGTCTCATACCAAGACAAAATGGGATTTTGGCTTAGAAAGAAGATATCGAGGAGCGGCTGTTGGATATATGGATTAAGTGAGCAACATTTACAAACTAGTATAAAGCCAGTGAAATCAGATGCCAATGCTTCAGCTTATAAGGGAGTCAAAAAAGCCATAACCACGATAGGAGAAAGCCAAGCAATCTCCATTTGTGATAGAGTTATCTTCCATAAATTTTGCCCAATTGTTCTGAAAACAAAACTAGTTTCTGTCATCTCCATGCTCCAAACTTTCTTAAAACAATTCTTAAGAACTACCTTTTTTTTTTTTTTGGAACAACTCCTCTCACAGATTCCTTAAACTAGATGGGAATTTCCTATTAGGGAACATGTCCTATTGGATAAGCAAATTAATGAGAAAAATTCTAGATCAGTTTCAGGACAGGAAAGCAAGATCTAAACAAAAACTAAACACACATAAAAACAGGCAACATTCTTGATCGAACTATTATATATAAATATAATCTGACACGAACAAAATAAAAACGGGTACAAATCATTTTTTGTGACAAAAATGCTTGCAAAATCTGAAAGTTCTTACCCAGACAGTCATGTCTAGACTAAAAGCATAAAATTAAAGGGCATTAAAGAATACAACAATTTCAAATCAAGTTTCCCATAGAAGAAGGTGGTTCACAATCTAGTACTTTTGTGTACTGGTGCTTAAAAATGGCATAGTCTAAGACAAACGTTAATATAGCTAGGCTAGCTAGCATGGTAGTTCAGTTTAACTTTGATGCATTACCTGTGTATGGGACTATGGGTGCTGAAATGATTAATTTCAGTAATTTTTTTTATTTTTTTTATTTTTAATGATTTCACTAATTTGGATCTCAATGATTTAAAAAAATATTGAGATCGTGCGCTCTGGGCTCTGGGCATCCCAAAATGACGTCATTTTGTTAAGTTGTGTGGGGAGTTGATGCGACAGAGTGTATGTGTATTCTCTTATATAATTATGTATATTATGAATGGTTTTCAATTACATGTAATCAGTTACTTTACCAAAATATCTTTATATACTCAGTTATCAATTAGTCAAACCCACTAACTCAATCAGCTAATAACTATTTATCAAATATCCCTAAAATAACGTAACCACAAAAGGAGTAGTTTGTAAAGTATTTTTAATACTCCGTATGATTTACTTCGTTGAAGTAAAGTTTACTCATATGGTTTTCATTGTGGCTGTTAGAAAAAAAAAAATTGGACAAAGTATACGTGGAAACTGAAAACACCCCAAGGGCCCACACCTAGAGTCGCAGCTTCGCGGCAATTTATATCGTGCACCACGGTGCACATAGCAATGTGCGTCCAGGTACAAAACGCCGACGTTTCAATTGCTGTTGACGGGGATTGATGTGATGGACGTGCACTCCGTCCATCCAATTCCCGGTATGTGTATTCTGCTAAAAGTTCGTGTATTGTGTTATGACTTTATGCGTATTCTGTTAAGAGTTTATGTGTATTATATTAAAAGTTTCTGTGTATTCTCATTTATGTTAAGAGTTTTTGTGTATTATATTATGAATTTATGTGTATTATGTTAAGAGTTTATGTATATTATGTATTATGTTAGATTATGTGTATTCTGTTATGAGTTTATGTACATACGAAAGAAAAGTTTTTTTTTTTTTTTTTCCTGAAGTTAACGGTAAAATTGTGGGTTAGAATTGATATGAATGTTTTCCAAAATCTCATTTTCAATTGAAATTAAAGCTAATCCATTGACTCTCTTTTAATGTTTTTGAATCCTATTTTCTTTTTACACTTCTCAAATCTAGATGAATATTTTTTAGAAGACATAATTATAAAGTTCTAAGGAAATAACTAAGATTTCTTTTTAAAGCAACTAAGAATTTATTTAGAAACTCTATAAATAAATAATTAATCTAAAACGAATTCTTGAATATATTATTCTGAAATCATAATTATTAAGTCATGTAAATAAAATAATAAACAAGAATTGTGAAATAATACGTAATGTTAACTTTAATTACGTGTTAAGAGAATTGAAGAACTTGAGAATTTGTATAAAAAAAAAAAAAGAATTTAAGATCCGTAGCACAGGAACTGACTTTGTCGTCTTTGCGTCAACTCACTAAATTCCGTGTAAATTGTTGAATTTCTTGTTTGTCTTTGCAAAGAATACAAATTAATAATTATACAATTGAGATTTTCCTCAAGTAATTTGATTTGCCAAATCTCGCAAAGAGCACATACTACACCATAGACAAATTAAATATTTAACTTATAGAGAAGATTAGGAATTTAGGATGACACGCACAACTTAGTTCAATTACCTTGGCTGTTTGTTGAATTGTTGTCCCCTCTCTTTTGTTTGTCGATTGACGAGTCTGCCGTCTCAGTGTCTCACGTTTTTTCCTACGCCAATAGGTCGCTAGGTTAGGCCGTTAGGGTAATAAATTAATAATGATTGTCGGTTCGATAACAAAAGCAATCGATGATCGTATATATACTATATAACTAATTTTTTAAAAAAATATTTGGGGGCCCCGTGCGCCGGCCCTGATGAAAACAACAGACGAAATATAATTGTTGAGTTTGTAACTTTTTTTTTTAAAGGAAACGTGAATATATTAATCCAACGCCAAAATACAATCAGGAGGGTGAGTAATACATACCTCAAGGACAGAAGAAGAATCAGTAGTCGGTGCGAGTACATGGAGCCATCATCCTTTCGTTCCTCTCGATTAGAACCATGTTAGGTTGACTTTATAATAAACAATTCCTTTTTCATTATGCGTTACAAAGCTTTCGTGTTGGCTTCATCTTTCTCCGTCTCACAACACTCTTTTCACAGCTCGCTACCACCAACCTTAATTTTGTCAAAACCCTGACCCACATATCAAAAGACGATCCATGAAAAAGCAACTCCTTGTTGATATATTGTTAAATGATTAACAAGTGATGATAGAGGTGGAGGACTTTAGGGTCATATTGTATTATTGCTAAATTGATTGTTGTAGGTAGGAGAGAATAAAAACAACAATGAGATGTTTATAGGTGGTACATACTTACAAGAAATAGAATTTGGTGGTAATTTTATTTCTTTATTTGACAAATCGTTGCATGTCATGATCATGGAGCAAATACATATGCATGAATTAATGAAACAAAAATAAAATCCATATATGATGTTTGGATGTGTGTGGACTGACTTTTATTATATGCAGTTGAGTCTGGATCTTCCTTAGTTTCCTCTGACCACTTGACACGGACTGTTTGGGTAGGGAGTTCGAATAACTATACAAAGGAAGGAAGAAGGGCAGTTGGAGAATATGTGGAATTAATGAAATGGGTTGTATCCGTTATGTTTTCTGATGTTATCTTTACTTGAATTCGAGCAAATAATTGTCTAATTATTAGTGCAGTGCGCGTGCAATGCACGGATAAAATTTTTTATTATATATTTAGATAATAAAAGTGTTACTATTTCTTTAATCCTTTCAAAATTTGCTAAATATTCATTCAAATACGTGTGAATACGTATCAATGCAGAACACTACTGAAATTTTTTGTATGAGCAGAAGCGGATGGGGGACCGTTTCTACATTAGAATAGTATAGATTAGAAAAAATTATGGTATTAGTTTTAAAGATTTTGATTTTGGTAGGGTCTCATTTATTTACCCAAACAGGGCCACAAAAATCTAAAAACCGGTCCTGATACAAAGCTAGCAGGCCCGGTCCTATCATTTTATAGGCCCAGGGCAAGACAAAAAATAGGCCCCGATTAATATATGTTTCATGCCTAAAATTTAAATTAAATAAAGAAAAAATTATTAATATCTGTTAGTGATATTATTATTGTTGCATTTATTATTATTATCTTAGTCTAGTGTTATATTGTAATAGAATAAGTCTCAGGTGACTAGGCTATTAGTTAAGAGATATTAGTGGTATAGTTTGATATACTCTGATCTCCTGTAACTCTGTTCTGTTGAAACTGAATAACAAATCATTCTCTAATCTGGTATCAGCCAAGTCGATCCTCCCTCTCTCCTCTTTGATCGAAAAACAACCGAGACCCACCGCCACCATGTCGTCGAATTCCTCCGAGAGGACCATTTCCGCCGGCGGCGGCTCATCCCCGACCGGCACCAACCCGTTAACGGGAGCTCATCACTTCATCTCCATGAAGTTAACGTCCAGGAATTTCTTATTCTGGCGTACCCAGTTCATTCCGTTTCTACGCGGACAGGATCTCATCGGCTTCATGGATGGCAGTTTACCGTGTCCTCCTCCGACCGTTGTCTCTCCACCCTCTGGCGACTCCAACTCTAGCGCGACCACGGCGGAACCGACCCCCAATTCGGCACACAAGGCTTGGATTCAACAGGATCAATCGATCCTTTCCATTCTCATCTCGTCAATGTCCGACGAGGTTCTCCACCTTGCAGTTGGCCGAAATACCGCGGCTAAGGTTTGGCGATCCGTCTTCACGGCGTTAGGCTCCAACACCCAAGCAAGATGCCTCAACTTGTTGGGGCAGTTTCAGTCTCTCCGGCAAGGAAACTCGTCGCCGACAGACTACCTCGGCAAAGCGGAGCTTCTCGTCGCAACGCTTGCACAGGCCAGGCATCCTCTGTCGCTTGCAGAACAGAACTTGTACGAGCTGAGGGGCCTTCGACCGGAGTACATGTCCTATGCAGCTTCCCTCACCGCCAATTCGTCGGTGACTCTCCCGCAGTTGGCCGACTACCTCCAAGCTGCTGACTTCATTCTCACCGATGACTATCTTCCGGCGGGAGATGGTGTTCCAGTGGCGTCGCATGCGGCGCTCTATGCTGAACGTGGTCGTGGTGGCCATGGCAATCCGCATGGCAGTGGTGGACGACGAGGAGGCCGGAACAGCAACAATGGCCACGGTGGACGCGGCGGCCGGGGTCCCCCAAGGTGTCAGATTTGCCGAGCTCAGGGCCACACCGCCGTTTATTGTTATAAACGGTACTCCACTCAACCACCTACACAAGCGAACATTACGGTCTCCGGCGACGCGACCTCGGCTCCCGTACCCTCGACAGACGCATGGTATCCCGACACTGGAGCCACCGCGCACGCCACACCGGATGCCGAAATGTTGACAACCTCGGAGGACTACAATGGCTCGGACACGTTGAGGGTTGGAAACGGTACAGGTTTGGCTATCTCACAAATTGGCCATACATCTATCCCATCCGTGTCCAAACAATTACTCATGTATAATGTGTTGCATGTTCCTACATTAACCGTCCCCGTTATTATCTGTACCAAAATTTACTAGTGATAATGGGGTTTTCTTTGAGTTTCATAACAATTGTTTTTTTTGTGAAGGATTCCAAAACCAATGCCATACTTCTTAAGGGGCCTACTGCTGGCGGCCTATACAAGCTCCCTGTATCACGAAGTCAGTTTGCATTTGCCACTTCTCGTGCAACACCGACAGTATGGCATCGCAGACTCGGTCACCCTCATAGTTTGGTTCAAAATAAAATTCTCCAAAATTGCCTGGTTCAACCGAATAATGTCAAAGTTTTAGAGTCATGCAAAGCTTGCCATCTCGGCAAGTCGTCTCGTTTTAAGTTAGACAATATTAAAAATTCTAGCCACAATGTACTGGATCTACTGTATGCAGATATCTGGGGGCCTGCCCCATCGTACCCGCTGCTTGTAATGAAAGGTGAGACCTATCATCTTGAGGTCCCATTAAGGACAACCCATAGTCGGACACATTTGCAGTCCAAGTGTTATCCAGCAATATGTTGGATGACTTGATTTAGCGGTGGATGAATTGCGGCACAGCATACTCGTGGAGTTACTCAATCCCTCGGGCTGCATCTAATGCGACGCGAATTCGTGCGGTCCACGACATGAGCTGTGAGCTTTCACGCCTATGGAATTGATCATGAAGTGTTCCATTTTTCATGTACTCAGAAACAAGCAATCTCTCATTGTTATCCTCACAATAGCCCAATAGCCTCACTAGGTTCTTGTGATGGAGCCTTGACAAAAACTCAAGCTCATTGAGGAAGGCATTGTCCTTGTCCTCCTGCCGGTATCTTATGCCGCCGCCAAACTCAGCCCTCTTGATGGCCACTCTCCGCCCATCTTCAAATGTCGCATGGTACACTGACCCAAAACTACCGTTACCAATTCTATGCTCCTCAGAAAAATTATTTGTCACTTGTTGCAACACTTGTAAAGAAAACTCTTCTAAAATCCCAGCATTTACCACACTTACCAATTGGCTGGGCCTTTCTTCCAAGACCGCCTTTGCTTCTTCCTCGTCTAACCAGCAGGGAAAATGGATTCTTGATCCTCCTGTAATGGTGCAGTAACTAGGAAATAGGTAACATATAAGGGCTAACACAACTATCAAAGAAACAGTGCATCCCAATGACTACGTTTTCCACTGGCCGGAGACGGTGGCGGTTGTGAAGGTGTATTCTGAGTAGGAGTTCCAAGAATACACGGCGCACATATTTTTTCATTTTGGCCGCAACCGTAGAAAGGTATATTACTGCAAAGACAAGAACTTGTGCACAGCCCAGGAACTACTTTGTCGAAAACCTTAAGATTAAAATCCAAAAGGGCATTTCTCCAACAATACAACATTGCATTCTCCTCTAGCACTCCGCAAAACATTGTTTCTCTTTCCGCCAATGCCAAGAAATGCCTGCCCTCCAACCCTCGAGGGATGCTAAAATCATTTTCTCCCCAACAAACTACGGTTCTGTTAGACCGTCTTATGGCGCATCCCATGTGCTCTCCCAAGGCAAGACCCACAAATTCACCCTCCGGCTTTTCTTCGGCCATATCTCCCCAGCAATCCAACCGCCCCTTCTGCGAAATAGCGCACACGTAACGCGAACCTGCGGCCAAATCATCGTAAGTCCCGTTGGGGGCATGATCGGTGACATTTGAATCACTCCCCAAACACTGAACTTTGCCTGAATCGCGCAACCCGCAAACAAAATCTTGACCCAATGCGAGATTCGTGGTGAGGGAAATCTGGTTGGACTGGCGAAACTCCGGCCATTGCAAGCACTGAAGGCCCCCAGAATTCTCCACAATTCCACAAATGTGGGAATTCCCGGAACCAAGATCAGCCAATTTCGGGCCGTTGTAGATTCTCTTGTACGCCATCTCAGTCCCGTTTACTGAAAATCTCCAACATTTCATACCGGAAAAGGTGAAGAAAATGAAAAAGTATGAGCACAGAGGAAACCATTTCCACCCACAAGCCCAGAGTAAGAAACAGAGGGGTTTAGAGGCATCCGAACACTCCCCGCCGGAAAGCTCGTGCAATTGAGGGATGGAGAACCCAGCGGGCGAGAAGGATCCTGCACCAATGAACATATGAGCCGCGTTTGGTTACCGGCTTGAGAAATTGCGACTGTGGAAATGGGGCAAACATAAGGGAGGAAACAAAGGGCTGACAGAGAGAAGAATAAGAAAGGGAACATGTTTGAGGGAAGAAGAGCCATGGAAATGCTCTCATGGTCATACGAAACAGAGGCATTACTGGAGGCGGAGAGAGATTAATAAATGTTGTGATGATGATTTGATAAAAAAGGGAGTCTGGTCTGGGAGAGAATCAAAACAAAGCTTACCGGAACTGGGAAAGATGAAGTTTGTGAGGATGACTCGGCTCTTTTTTTTTATTATTATTATTTGAGACTTAAAAATTATAAATTATTTAATACTTTAATAATTAATACTAAAATATTAAATATTAGCCTTAACAAATCTAAAATTTGAACAAGTTAAAATTTTTTTTTTATTAATTTGGAGGGGGGGGGGGGGGGGGGAACCCAAAAATACACATGCGGACTTAGAAAGCATTATTTACAGTCCTCCAGTGAGGGAAACCAACGCTATCATCCTCTAGAATTCCTAATATATCTTATGGAGGATTCTAGAAAATGTGAATCCCTTTAGGAAGATTTGTGGACATCTTTGCAAGTGCATCCGCCGCTGCATTTTGTTCTCGGTCAATTATGGAAACCTGCCAGACTTCAAAGGCTTGCAGCTCTCTTCTACATGCCTGCAATAGGTTGTACACTACCAAGATTGTTGGAGGAAGGCCATTCAAATACAGGAATACATCGTTGGAGTCTGTCTCAAAGATGACTTTGCTACATCCCATGGAAGCGGCCAGTTGTATGCCCTTTAGTAGAGCCCATACCTCCGCTGCAAGTGGTAAACAATTACCAATACCTTAAGCAAAGCCCTGCAGCCAAGCTCCGGAGTCATCGCGGATGAGCCCTCCACAGCCAGCTATGGCAGTGTTGTGGTTGACCGAACCATCAATGTTAATTTTTACAAAACCAGCTTGGGGTTTAGTCCAATGTGTCGGCCTCCATAACGATCTCTCTGTCTCGCCTTGACTGCCAATAGCTCTTGCAAATTTTTACAAAACCAGTTGAGACGTGGCCGGCTGATTTGTGTTTCTGCTGCAATTTCTACGATCTCTCCTGGTAACGAGCATCCAGGATCCATACCTTTTGGGAGGATCTTGGTTTATTGAAGCCTGGCTGTTTCCCTCTGTGCAGTTTTAGCCTCCTTTCCACATTGCTCCTGTCGATGTCCATAAACGCCGCACTCAAAACAAATCTAGTGGACACCTTCATACTCTATCGTCCACTCAGTTTCGCTAATTACAAACTTTGGCAGTAAATGCTTTGTGATATCAAGTTCTACACAGGCTCTCGCATACTTGCCTTTAGACACAAGACTGGTTGTAAAGTCAATCTTAACCGGCCTTCCGATCTCCTTCCCTATTTTCTTGAGAAACTAGTCGTCGAAATACTCGATGGGTAGCGCTGGTCGTCGAACAAGTTATAATTATTTCACTTAAAACGATGTATGAAATAACTCATTAAAAACAATGCCTAGGCAAGCCTAATCTGCCACCTAGACCATCAATTATGGTGAGATACACTAAACAATCATCTAGCACCTAAACAGCATAATCAGCCACCTAGACCATCAATTATGGTGAGATACACTAGACGATCAGCTGCCAATTCATCTGTGCCTAAGCGGGATTTTTGCAACACTGATTTTTACGCACTGAACTTATCATTCTCAATTGGAACTACAATAAGGAACAAATTAAAGACAAAAAAAAAAAGAAAAAAAAAAGAAAAAAAAAGAACTCTCATAAAGAAAAAAAACAATAAAGGAAATACATTTCAGGATCTGAGATCCAAAAACAAAACTGTAGATTCAACTGTCAAAAATTCTGACACAGTTTTCGATCAGTGTAGCAATAATAAGTGCCAATTCCTGAACATTAACATACAATCACACCATGAAATGAACCAACTCAAATCCTCTACTCCATTTTCTATAGTATTTTTGTTTTCTTGAAAACAGAAAACCAGGGAAATTGTAAAAATTAGGTGGAGAACTAGAGATAATTAGCTCACAAGAGATTCTTCAAAGAACACAAACTTATCACCTCCGCATACCACGACGACGGGGTGCAAATCCACGCCTTCTGCCGCCCATGGCACCTGCAGCTTCTCCCTGGGCACTCTCAGACTGCATATGGATCGAAGACACAATGGATTATTGTTTCCAAATGGTTCGAGTATAGAAAACGTGAACGAAATAGCCGTGCTACAACTGAAAGTGATAAAATATTTACATGATATAAACTAGTTAACACGTACATATATAATGTATAGCCTGGTCAAATGGTATTATACGGGGTCATAACCACCGTCATGATATTAAGTTTAACAGGAACTTAAGGGGAATGGTAAAATGTCGTATTGCCAATATGTTTATATATTAGGCAATGGAGTTCAACATAAAATGGTAAGCCCAAAACAAATTACCTTCACTATTTCATCCACACTTAGGATAAGGCAAGCTGCATGCATTTATGGCATTTATCTTGAAAAAGAGATCAAGATTGTAATTTAAGAGACACTAGGAAGGCAAGAAATAAATAAAAAGCGATGGAAGTCAAAGCACCTTCACAACAGATGGTTCCCACACAAAATTAGCAAAAGAATCAGCTATTCCACCAGTATTGATAAGGTGCACCCTCACCTGTTTCATGGACTTGCAGCATTAATAACAAACAAATCTAAAGAGGAAAGGTTATAGAACCACTATCTTACAAAATATATATACAAAGTTAAAAATTAAACTTAAATAAGAAGCCAAATTCCAAAATAAATACCATAAATCCTAATCGGCCAGACTTCACATTAAAAAAAAACTCACACTAAAATTTGAACAAGTTAAAATTATTTCACTTAAAACGAT